GTTATTACAATGATAGGTGGCTCTTCGTTGGGCAATTCAACGTAATATTGCAATTATACCAAAATCAAACAATCAAAATAGAATTATTGAAAATCGTAAAATTGTAGATTTTACTTTGACTGATGAAGAAATTAAAGAAATCTCTTCGTTAAATAGAAATTTAAGGTTTAATGATCTCTATACACGGTTTGGGATTCCTGTATTTGAATGATCTACTTTTGAGATTGGAAGGTATGACTAATACTAATACTAATAAGGATAATTTTAATAGTATGGTAATAGTGTAGAAAGAGTAAAATAAGAAAGTCTCGTAAATAAATAATATTAAATAAATTAAAAAATAAAAGTGTTTTTCTTTAATCAAACCTAATTTAACCACGTTATTAATTATCAATTAACTTGGAAGTTTTATTCAGGTGGTTCATGGTGAAGGTGTAACTGGTGAACACTTTTCTAGGTCAAGATTTCCTAATCATTGATAAAAATACAACTACTGCCACTACTACTAATATTAATATCATTTTCAAATGTAATCCATGAAAATTATTATTGTTCAAGTGACCCAGAAATTACTGAAATATCTTGCTGATAATTGTGGTAATAATTTGATGCAATGCTAGAAACATCCTTATTACAATATCCTAATCAAGCTATGTTGACTTATAATAGTCAGTTCATCTATCAATTACCTTTTTCTCATTCACCATTTCCAGTCTTGCTAGTTTTTAAATGAGCTGGTGCAAATCAAATAAATTTTCAGTAACGAAAAGAATAATTACTGAATAGAGATAATGTAAAATCAACTGATTTAAATAAATTTTTTTGATTTGTAAATAACGGAAATAAAAGAAACTAGTACTAGTGATGCCTCAACAAAAAAAAATTATAAAAGTGGGTTACTTTTTATACAAAAAGCACAATAATAATAAAATAATAAATTTTGATAAATGGACGGTAACTTTGCAGCCTGTTCCAACAGTCATAATGTTATTAAGAATATTGGTACACGATGCTAAAGGTCGACAACCAGATACTTGGGAGTTTCGCGCTCATGCTCACCCATATTCATAATTAGCAAGCTTTATTAAATGCTTTATTCTCGAGTGCACATTTATAATACTATTACGACATTATTATTTCCTTATAAAAATTCAAACTCCTATATACAAATAAATAAATTCTTCGCAATAATCAAAGAACATTTTTCCTTTTCCTCCTTCATCTTTTCTACCATCTCCTAAACCTTTTTTTTTTTTTCCTCAGCACAATCTGCAAAATAAACTTCTATTAATAGACGGTAGCCCTTTGCAGCCTGCTTCCAACAGCCATAGATAATATAGATGAGACTGAATGCGTCATTAAGAATGTTGGTACATGATGCATGGTCGACAACCAGACATCCGAGTATACTTTGAAGTTTCAGACTCAAGATCTCACTAACAAGAGAGTTCCTAACGATAATTTACTAGCTTGTTCAATATCCATTCATACCAATACTGTGACCAAGATTCTTAATTTATTATTATAGTAGGGTTTTAGGTTTGGGCTTAAGGTATACTCTCTCATGAAACTGTTTATGGGGTTCAAAAGTGTCTAGAATCACAGCATTGATGATTTTTTATTTAATATAATAAAGATAAACTAGTAAGAATTATTTTTCCTGTTGCATAGTCGAGGCTTCTCAAAAAGATCCCCGTATAATATTGAAGGCTTCTTATGAGAAAGGAGAATTGAAATGATTGTGAAATTATTCTTTTATAACCCAAGTACTTGCTGTGTGTGGGTTTGGTGTTGTAAACTTTCCTAAATTATTAATCATATAAACATTTAATCACATTATTGTTATTATTATATTAATTGATTTGTTATCCTCCATGCCCAAGGTCAACCTTTTACGTGTTTCATCCATTATTTCCTGGTGATTCACCACTAAAGAAATATTTTACAATAATAATTTTCTTTTTCAAAAGTCGCTCTTTTAAACAAAAGTATCAAATTATTTTACTGATAAAAGCAAAATATTGAAAGAAGTCGTATTTTAAAAACTTTTTAAAGCCAAGAAAATAGGCGATTAAAATTTATACTGGCAATGGAGAAAAAGTTAATTTTTACAATTATTCATGTATAAAAATGGTAAACCAAGAGAATATAGCAAGTGTAAAGAGAAACAAGATACTCTGATCGATTTTGTGAAAAGTGTATTGGTCTACTCCACAGAGTCTTTTCAGTACTTACGCAATTTCGTTTAATATTAAGAGATAAACAATTAATTGATTATAGATAATCTAGGGGATTTGCTCTATGCTAGAAAATTTATTTTTGCCATCCTGGGCCCACTTTAAAGGCTATGTTGATGAATTTTGTCAGAATATAGTTCCTCATTATCTATATATAATTAATGTTATCTAAAAAATAAGATTTGATGATGTTACTCTTTACTTTTGTATAAGGGTAGAAATGGTAAAAAACTCGATAGTAACGACCCTGTTACACAGCTTTATCTCAATGGATCTATAAGATCTTGGTGTCAAAATAATTCCTCTATTTGAAGCTTTATTGATAAATCACGTTTTAGATATTGTGTAAAGTTTTACAACATATTAATAGTAAACAGTAATAGTATTATATGACCTCCACTGTTATAACAATTGAGAAGAATGTCAACAAAAGAAGAAAAAACACCAACTACACCATTAAATAATAATAAAGAGGTTGCTAACAATGAGATTACTCATTATTCATCACCATTAGACAACTATGAAGAAGAAGTTGATTACAATTGTGAGATATTTTTTCTAATTTTTTTTAATGAATTGGATTAATAAAAAATTTCAAAATATAAAATCAATTTTAACTTTATATAAAGAATGATTCAGCTTATTGGACAAGCAGATCTAAAACCATATTGACAACAACGTCTGAGTATAATCGATTGCAAATAATAGTGGTAAGGATGATCGTGATCCAAAATTTAAATCTATAAATTCGGCACCTTCTGCTATTGCCAGTGACGACTTTGTTGATGATAAAGATGGAGACGGTGTTGATATTGAAGTTGACAATTGTAAATTTAATGATACTATAAAAATTGTTGGTAAGCCATAGTTACAGTATATTATTATAATTATTATGGATAATAATTATTGCATCTTTGATTTTTTGAATTTCATATTAATTAAAGAGTCAAATCAAAGAGGAGTTCTTTATTTTCATAAATGTCTTGAATTACGTGACAAATATATGAAATTGTCATTACAACGACTTGATGATAATCCGAAATATCATGAGGATTATAAAATTTATCCACCACCACCTGTCACATCCTGCTTACCAGCAAAAATTTAACCCTCATCATTTGCTGCTGATGGTTATGCAAAACACGGCAATGATGATAAAAAAGAAAAAGTGCAATGAAAATAATTGGCGAGGATTTTCATTTTGAAGGATGAGAGATACCTGATGAACATCAGATAATTATATATTAGAAAAGAAGGAGGAATGTGAGAAAGTGAACGGGAGAGAAAAAGGAAAAAGGAATTTAATCGAGTTAAAACTTGGTTTTATTGAATAATACTAGTATTTATATGAATTATCTGTAGATGGAATTTATCATGTTTATAAATTAGAGGAAGATCTTAAAAACAATAATAAGAAATCATCACCATCAACATCTCCAATATCTCCAACATCACCATCACCATCGCCACCATCATCACCATCATCTATATATTCAATTCCATCCTCCAAAGAATACTTTATGGATTTAGATTTTATATTAAATGTGATTTCTGATGGCCCAACAAAATCTTATGCTTATAGACACTTACAATACCTGGAAAGTAAATGGAATATGTATATATACCCTGCTCAAAGAATATCAAGGAATGGCTGAATCGAATATTTGCTACGATCTTAGTATCGATACACTGGGCATGCATGTAAATATTCTCACATATATTATTTGCAAACACACACAAAAAAAAAGTACGCATTAATAATAGTAGTATATAATAATAATGGGCACATAAAGATACATTTCATAGATTTCAAATTTGATCTAAAATACAATCCATTCGGTGAATCTAGACTTCGGGAAATTTTTCTGATGATTATGTTGAAGGAAGATATTCAGCTGAATTAACCAAAGGTTGATTAATTAATGATTTATTTATTCATTCGATTTGTTTATTTATTTAATTTATTTATGGGTTTTTTTTTTGTAAATTATATAAAAGTTATTGCAAATTTGAAGTCAAGTAAATATCAAATGGCTGAATATCGAGTATCGATATATGGGAGGTAATAAAAAATCCACATAATATTTATAAATTATTGATTCGCCTATATATTTCATCGCCACAAACAATTTTTGTATATAGATCAAAATCGGAATGGAGCGAACTTGCAAAATGGGTGGTAAACAACTAAATATTTTCGTCAAATGTCAGATGGTTGATTCAAATGCCTAGACTTTATGGTATCTATAAAGATACTAATACTGTTGAAAGTTTCGAAGATGTCATAAGAAGTATATATATACTATTTAATTATAATTATAAAACAAGAATTACGAGTTTAATGATTAGAGATTATATTTAATTAAATATTTAATTTATTTCTTTCAATATGATTTATACGAACCATTTGTTACAAAAAATCCAAAGAAAAATCTCGAGCTACACATATTTTACAACGTGCAATTGGATTTATCAGTGTGAATGACGAATCAAAAGTAGAAAAACTTATTCACAAAAAATATCCTGCACCAGAATAATGGAATATCAACCTCAACCCGCCTTAACCCTACTACTTATGCTACATGTTCGCGAATATGATCAGTGGCGGAAAGAACGTGGGTTCATTACCTTTGTTTTGAGAGCACATGCCGGTGAAGCAGGTGACACTGATCATTTGACATCACACTCAATCTCACATGGCATCTTGTCGAGGAAAGTTCCTGCGTTACAATATTTATATTATTTGAAACAATTGGAATTGAAATGTTGCCTTTATCAAACAATGCTTTGTTTTTGAATTATGAAAGAAATCCATTCATGAGTTTCTTTCAGAAAGGATTGAATATTAGTCTTAGTACTGATGATTCATTACAATTTCATTACATTCGTTGATTGAAGAGTACAGTATAGCTGCACAGGTAGGCATTTTTGTGGGTAAATATTATTATTTAAATATGTTTATGTTTACAACTGATATATTATAAAATAGATTTGGAAACTAATATGCGTGAATTGGCGCGTAACTCGGTATTGCAAAGTGGATTTGAAATGACATTAAAGAAGCATTGGCTTGGATCAAATTGGTTCTTGCCAGGTCCCGGCGGAAACACTTTTGCATAAATATTTCTCTGATGTTTCCAAGTTCATATTTATTATCATATAACAAATACACCAAATATTAGATTAATATTTAGACATGAGGCATTAATGGAAGAAATTAATATGCTGGCAAAATATTCACGTTTAAAATCAAAGGATTCGTTTGATTGTAACACCATAAAGATGCCTTTATCAAACTATAATGAATATTTATCCTCATCTTTGTCAGCGTCATCATTAAAAATAGCATCATCAACATCGCAACAATCAATACTTGAGAGAAGTGCAACTATAGATGTTTTTGATTCTGCTGTTAGTGGATTTAGTAAAGATAACATTAGTAGTGATCTTGGCAAAGGAAGTATTAAATAAAGTGATTATTTTAATAATAATTTCGGTAGTGGAATGAGATTAGAAGTGGCAGTGGTAGTGATTATCATCACCAAATTGTTACAACTTTTGGTAATCATTATTTTCTGATTCATAAATTGGAATTATTCCAGATGTTTCTATGTTTGTAAACGCAATCATCAAACTGGTAAAAAAGATAAAACTGGTATTGACACTGGAAATAGTAGCGGATAACAGTCAAATTAATAATAATATATATATGTGGTGAAATACATTTGTGGATTGGAATAGTTGGGAAACTTAAAAATAAAAATAAATTCATTTATTTATTTATTAGCAGAAATAAAATAAATTTTACCATAGAATCTTATAAAATTTTAAAAAAATTATTATCGTTACTAACGAAGGATAAATAAATAAATAGGGAAGAAAAAATTTACATCATAATAAATCATCATAAAAATAAATAAAATTGATTACATGTTAATAATTTATTTATTTTATTTTTTACAATTTCATTCATAAACTGTATGTATATTTAAAAAAATATAATCATATTTTCAATACAATAATAAATAGAAAAAGCGAAATCTTAACATAATAAATGTTGAACAGTCATTCCTCCTCTTCTTACATTTGTCGATGATAATGGATCTTCTTGATTATTCTCTAGGCCATCTTGATCATCTTCTTGATCGTCTTGATCTTTTTTTTTTTCAAGTTTTTGACCATCTAAATCATAACCTCCCTTTTTCTCTTCATCTTTTACTCCTCCTTTTACTTTTTCTTTATCTTCTTCGCCCTCAACTTGTTGTTCTTTTAGTGAAGCATCTTCAACTCCTTTATTTATTGTAGTTCTTTCATCCACATTATCATTATCATTATCATCATTACCAATACTCTTATTATTGCTATTATCACTCCTTGAAGAATTGGATAGCATTAATAAAACTTGTGCTTCTTCTTCATGCTCTTTTATAGAATAATTATTCTCAATATCCATCATATTGTTATCACCGTCATTATTAGAGTCAGGGTTGGAATTACTATTATCATCATTATTACTATTATCATTATTATTACTATTATTATTATTAGATGGTGATGATGATTTATTTATGTTATTATTTGTAGTGGTAGCGGAAGAGGAAGTAGCAGAACAACAAGAAGAATTAGAACTAATAGAACTTCGTTTATGTTTGTATTCTTCACAATCTTCATAGGAATTAATTGTGGAACTACTAATTACATTAGAATTAGTAGTAGCAGTGGCGGTGTTACTGGCAGAAAGAAAACTTTTTGGTATAGGGATTTCGTAACGATTAAATTTTGATTTTTTGATGCTTCTAATTAATCCATGATTCATATTTGAAGATGACAACGATAAAGATGATATTGAAGAAGAATACAATGATGATGATGATGACGGTGATGATGGTTTAAATTTTGATGTGTTACTACTACTATTATTATTATTATTATTATTATTATTATTATTAGCTTCCTCATCAGCACCACTAATACCTCCACTACCATTTCCACTACTACTATTTTCACGTTGACGATATTCAAAAACAATAGCTTGCAAATACTCGATATACTCAATAGCATTTTGTAACACGCTAAGTTTATGCATATTTTCTTGTTCCGAACAACCAGGTATTAATTCTCTTAATTGCATGATTTTGTCATTAATACGTTCACGACGTCTTCTCTCAATTTGCGAATGTGATGCCTTCCTAGCCATTTCACGTTGATCTGCAGTTGTTAATTGTTGCTGTTTTTGTTGTTGTATTTTATTATTATTGTTATTAATCTCGGGCGATGATGAGATTGAAGCATGATGATGTTGTTGTGGTGATGGTAATGATAATGGAGGCGGCACCAAGTTATGATGATGATTGTGATGTGGATTTATTGATAAAGGTGATAAGTTATTATGAGCGTGATGATGTGGGTGAGTTAAATGTGGATTATTATTGTTGTTATTATTATTGTTATTGTTATTGTTATTATTATTAAGAGATAAATGAGGTGAATTTAAGAATCTAGCATCTACACCACTTTGCATAATTGGAGAATTATTGATTAAATTTTGATTTGAATTTGTTGATGTATTATTAGTAGTTGGGGTAACAGGTAATGAGAATACCGAAGTAGTTGGTTGTTGAGAAGAGGGTTGTAGAGCTGGCGATTGTTTTGGTAGAATAGGATTGAATCTTGATTGATTCATATTTATTATAGTAAAATTTTTTGAAGCTGAAGATGAACCAATTGAAGAGTTGGCGGTGGAATTAGCGGCAGGAGGATCAGAAGAAGAGTCAGAAGTTGCATTATTCTCACCATTATTATTATTGTTATTATTATTGGTGGAAGGCTCTGTGGAAACACTGTTATTGTTGTTGCCGAGTTGAGATAGAAGTGGTGGGGGAAGTTTAAAATTTATTTGATTACTTGAATGATCATTATTATGCATTGGAAGAGAAAAAGGTGAAACAGGTGGTGTTTCGAAAGGTGGTAAAGTCACTCCCCCTGTTACTCCTCCATGTTGATGAGGATTTTGTGGTGGTGTTGTTTGTTGATGACGATAATATTGTTGCTGTTGTTGATTATATTGATGAGGATGATGCGAAGGTGATTGTTGTTGTAGTGACAATGGTGGTGGAGGTTGTTGATATTGATATTGATTATGTTGAGGATGATATTGTTGTTGATAATGTTGCTGATGTTGTTGTTGATAATTTTGTGTAATTGGATTTGACTGTGGTGATTGATGAGGTGATATTGGGGCAAGTCTAGAATTAGAAGTCATAGTAGTAGTTGGAGTTGTGATAATGATTGGTTGTTGTGGTGGAGCTGGCACAATAGGACGATAACCAGTTGTTTGATGAGATGTCTTTATTAAATAAATATGGAGACGAATGAAAAAATATAAAAGTTAATAATTAATTTAAAAAAATTTTTGAAAAAAGACTATAAATAGATAAAATAGATAAGTAAATAAATTACCTTATTCATTATTATTTTTAACTTCGTTTCAAATTACTAAATTTTTATCGTTGATTCTCTACTACGTTCTCAAAGTTCGGTATTTAATACTCCTTTTAAATTTATGTTTTTCCGTTCAAAATGATTCGATTTTATCTTGTTGAGAAAAATAATCCTTAACTAAGAAAAGTAAAGTTTAAAGATTAAAAATCGTTCGTTATTCTTCTTTAAGAAAAAAAAAGGAATTTACCGATGAAAAAACAATTAAGAATTAAATATAAATTTTTATATTTTTACATAAATGATAATAATATATTTATTTATTTTTATTTATTTATTTATTATATTTATATATATGAATTACAAATTTTAAAAAAGAAATGCAATGTAGACGATAATTAATTGGTTGATGTATTGTTTTACGTTAAATATCGATTGGATAAGAAATGTGGAAAGAAGAGAAGAAAAAAATTAAAAATTTTTTTTTGTGCGTATTTATCTTCTTACTCTTATAGCACCACGTGTCAATCATAAAACAAAATATTGGTCAATATTATTTAAAATTCATTTCGATAATTGATAAATTAAAACTCTACAATATTTGCTCTCTCATTATTATTATAATGCCATTCAAGGGATCTTTTTTAATATTATTTGCAAATGTTAAAATGGAAATCGTATGGATAGCATGTGAGCATATTAAATGCTCCCATTGGTTAATAAAAGATTACCCTTGTTTAGTAAATGATTTACATTACCAAATTTGGTGAATTTTTAATTCTCCCTTCATATAATTAATTAATAATAAATAAAATCAGGCAGTATTAATTGATCATCATCTAGAGTTTAATATTAATATTAATAGTATTATTCCCTTGACGTAATTAAATTTAATATTAATAATGCTACAAACAGTTAATCTCACGGCAATATGCAAACAGATCCCTGTTATACCACCTGACTCGATTATAGTATTGGGTGGGATTTGTGTAATTAAAAATATTTTTTTGTGAAAAAGTAAAAGGTAAACTTTATTTTTTTATTGAATAAATTTTGAAATAAAAACAAAAATTATTTTAAATAATAAAATCATTTAATTCAAATGAAATGAAATGAATCGTAAATGAATGATATTCAAAAAAAAATCAATTGCATCTTGGAGAATTTCAAAAGATTACATTTTTTATCATTGTTAGAAAATGAGCGGGTGCTAATTTAATTATGAGTATGAATTAAATAGTGTGCTTTATAAAACAGTGTGTAAGAATTGTAAATCTATAAAATATTTCAAATAAATATTGTGAGCATTGTGTTATTGTTCTCCTTTTCAATACCTGGACTTCTGGAAATGACATATCATGGAATGGGTACCTTATGATCAATTTAATGGCATGAAATATTTAATTCAAGGAGGCTTTGGTAATATTTATAAACCAAAATGGATAAGAGGTACTTTAATTGATTGAAATCAAAATAAAAAAGAATTTAATTTTTATGGACCCCTAGATGTAAATAATCCAAATGAGGTTGGAAATTTTTTTTTGGTGAGGTCAATAGTATTCTATTAAAAATAATATTAACTGATTAATTATATGGGGCATGCTGCAACAGAACCAGACAAAGTGAACATTGGTATTACCAAAGATTTCAGGGACCAAAATTTAGTCATTGTCATTACAATTGTAATGTAATCAGTTTTATAATACCCCATTTGTTATCTTAAATGACCTATAGAACTACTCCTATATAAAAATAGTTAATATGAAGTTAATTTACATTAGGTCTGGGATTTGCTATATTTGATATTTCTAAAATGTGAAAGTTCCACGTGAAATTTAGAAAATTTGTTATTGGCTAATTTATGCAGATCTTTCTGTTGAAAAAATGAGCTCTATTAAAATGTATAACTTCCAGAGTTATTGTAAGCGTTTAATTAAATTATTAACGAACAAATAATTTTATGGTCGTAAAATTAGAAGTTAAAACATTAAATGTTAAAAAAAAGTTCAAAAGTTATCTTTATTTCATGGTTTATTAGATGGTTAAATAATAAATTACAGTCTTAGAATTATAAATAGAGATAATAAATAAATAACGGGAATGATTAATATTAATATCTTAAGGACTTCCCGGAAAGTACGAATCATAATTTAAAAGATAACTTGGAAAATAATAAATAAATAAAATAAATAAAAATGAGATACGCGAACTCCCAAATAATATTATCCACGTTCGCTTAGTGGAACGAAAATGAATATGGTAATAGAATTTAGGGGTCGAATTTCCCAAAAAATCTGGGGTTTGTTACAGTTATAAAAATATGCATATTTTTTATTGATCTACGAAATAATCCAGAATCAAACAACATTAGGATGTCATTTTCCAATTAACATGTAGTATATTTATAGTTCAAGTTATAATCAATAAGTTGTCTGTCAATAATAATAATCTTCCTTCAATAATTAAAAATATATATCAACCTGTTAACATTGTTAACGGGTTTTGCCAAGAAAATTTTTTATTAATAATGCAAAAACAAATACAAGATCGGGACCTAGCCTGTGATACATGAAGTTTCTATGTAATGATGGTGGACTAATACCGCCTATTTTTTCTTGATTTTTTCTTGCACACAACGCCTCTTAGATGATGGTTCATTGCTGACAGATACCCTATCTTTTAATAAGCCCACTATCACCTCTAAAATTCTCTTCACATACTTGCACAAGTCTGTATCATCATCAAGGGCATCTTCAGTAAGTGAGATTCGGTATTCGGTCTTACTCGTGCAATAGATAGCCTCGGTGCTATGTAGAATGAAATACCAGTCCGTAGCTAAGAAATTGTGAAACAAGTTAGTGATGCGAAAGCAAAAAAAACTGCTTCACTAGAATCATTTCTCACCTGTTGTAACGATACCATATACATATTCATACTCAGACTCGAATACCTCTTCAGCCTTACGTTTTTTCTTGAACATATCTAAGTTCATCTATGTTTACAGATGATGGTTGGTTAGTATATTCTGATAGAAGGATAGTCGAATGGAGGCTAGACATAAAAAGGCATTACTTACTTCGCATGAACTTCGACATTGCATTAGATTTTGTGCCACACCTTTACCTGGCTGGTTTTGCTTTCCTTCAGTTATGTATATTGTTTCTTCGAACAAATCATCCAGTATTTTCTTGATCGCATAATCGACATGTCCGGTACTTTCTTCACCAGATACATTCATCTGAGGCAAGATTACCAATCCTCCTACGATGCTGACAGCAGTATGAAGGATTGTAGAAATGTATTCGCAACGCATAGCCTCATTACTATCTATGACTGGCCCCATATTTTTTATCCTACGAAGAATGTCATCTATGCAGAGCTTGAACTCCTTAGAACTTTCATCGATTGGGTGAAGAACTATAAAAGGAGAATATATAAGCCAATGGTAATTTTAACGAAAAAAGTTGACATAACTTACCTGGTGTGAACTGGGGGATGCTTGTTATGCTATCACTTCTAATGCCATATTTTTCTAATACATCCTTCAAACTCTTGTACGAAGAAAACACCTTCTTCTTTTTCTCCTTACACTCCTTGGCAAATTCTGCAAGCCTTGTTGCAGGACCACCAGGCATTCCATAACTACGAAGATCTTTTTTACTTATCTTGAGAAAGTCACGGCCATTAATTCTCTCCTTCTTGATTATATCATAATCTTCCTGTACAAGATCCAAGTTCTCTTCCTTATGCAAGAAATCGATAAGCTCTTTCGTTCTATATTTCTTAATTTCTTCTGCTAGCATCACAGACTCATTTTCAATGACGGAGGTAGAGGTGGATGCTGGGGTATTTGTATCCGACATAGTGTTTCTGTAGAATTAATAGGTTCGGATGAAAAAAAAATGTGAAGAAATTTTTATTTGCAAAAAAACTAGAGTGACGACGAGTGGCGGGCGATAACCACCACCACCATCTTTAAAACACTTACCCATGTGTATCTTTAGTTTCAGTTATTTGGTTTCTTTTTTTTAATCGCGTCTTGTACATTTTTTTTTCAAAGAAAAGCTTGTTAATTGATCGACATGTACACATTAATTATTTATCCTATTGGTTTTTTTTTTGGTAGGACAGACGCGAATTGATTTTTTTTTTTTTTTTTTGAAAAACAATTTATTTTTTGACAGAGTCCAAGGTGACAAAACGTTAGTGTTGTTGTTTGGTTTGGTTTGGATCTCCTAAAGAAGAAGTGTTAATAACTAACCAGAGGTACTATTTTTTATTTGTATTGATTGATATTTTTATTTTATATAAATATTTTAATTGGAATCAAAATGCGGAGCAGATCTTGCTGGGTAATTATAAGATTCTTATCAAGATGATAACAAATGAATGATTGGTATTTTGCTTCGTGTAATCAATAATATTAATAATATTATAAATATATAATTAATTACAAGATGTCACCGTTGAAAAGAAACATTTCATGTTTGATTATCGGAAATTAGCAAATGTTGAAGCACACATGCTACCTTGAACATTACAGTCATTTGCTCATTCCTCATGTGCACAAGGCTAAACTGACCAAGATTATCCCGATGATATGATGATGCAATTAAATTCCAGGGGGGGGCAACATGGCCCTGAGTTTACCAAGACTGCATCAATTGTCAATGACACTTTTGATAATCTTCCCAGACCAGAGAAGGCTGCTGCCATGTTAGCTGAAAAGTCGCCTGCAATGACCTTACCCCTAGGATAAGGTTGGCTCTGTGACCAAGTCGCAACTCTGTTGATGAATTATAGTGCCATGTAAACATCCAGATCCATCAAAGCAACGAGAATCTGCAACTTGTTTCAAGTACAGGTTGCAATTCAGGGTGGGGTTGGTGGCCCTGAAATTGCATTTGGGTTCTGATGTCAGGAGGGAGGCTGTAAAATAAAATGGTTCAGATTTTGTTTGGTATGTTATATATAAATTAATCATTTTCATAAATTTTCTGTTTCTCTTTGGTCTTTGTTTGACCAACTGAACTTGTTATTTAAATCAACTTTATTCTAGTGAGAGAGGGTGATAACACAAAGCAATCATTGCACGAACACAAGCACCAGCTATCAGTGATCAATGCCCATAACAAATATATTCAAAGTTTTAAATTGAATTTAATTGGATAGAATTAAAAGTGGTTATTATATGGTAACAGCCAGCCTGGTCTGAGGGGAAGATAAGGGAAAGTTTTGTCCAAAGCCTTCCAACATTGGGGACCTTCACCTGTGGGAAAAAAATTCCATAGTTATGAGGCGTGTGAGAGCACCCAACCACATGTTTGTGACAGGAAAATTTTTATTAAATCTGACACCTGTGATCAACAATCAGATTTATCATTCATAAGGAACCATAATTGATAATCAGGAAAAATAATTTATTCTTGTGAACCCCAGAGATCTGGGTAGACATGCATTATTAAAAGTTTCATTTATGCATGGCCTTGGTATTATTTATTACTTGGGTGTTGCAATTGTTTATTATGTCAATGACAATGTCAAATGTATTGAATAATAATCATGACCATCATGAATATTTGTTGGATGGAGGCATTCACATACAAGGAAATGATTAAATAGCTAAGTCATGTTTGTTTTATTAAAGATGTATGATTAAT